GAGAGGTGGTGATAGGTAAATATTTTCACATAGGAGAAATGTATAGTAGAACAAAATTCAGCATCCAGAGAGAGACAGCTTTCTTCTTTCTTTCTTTCTTTCTTTCTTTCTTTCTTTCTTTCTTTCTTTCTTTCTTTCTTTCTTTCTTTCTTTCTTTCTTTCTTTCTTTTTTGAAAAGCAAGCTTCTAGTCCTTAACACAGTAGGGACTGAGCAAAATTTCCAGGGAGGCAAAAAGAAGACAGTGTGACAAGGGCTACAACTTGTTCTGCACTACTCTTTCTGCAGGGCTACAACTTGTTCTGCACAAATATGTGCGCTCATAGGAACAGATGAAAATATGCCATGTCAAAAAATATAAGTGTGCAAAATGTGTGTGAGGGAAATTAAATAAGTAAGATAGAATGTTAAAAAGATAGATAGATAGATAGATAGATAGATAGATAGATAGATAGATAGATAGATAGATGAATGAAAGGTCTTCCCTCCATCGCAACTGCCATTACCCTGGCCTTGGAGAGGGAGAAGAACCATCAGCATCTCCTGGACTTAATTTTCTCTCTACTGCCATTCTCTTTTCTTTGTGTCTTGTGTCTTATTTAGATTGTAAACCTGAGGGGAAGGAACAGTAAAATTAACTATTTGTAAACTGATTTGATAATCTTCGTGGCTGAAGAGTGTGAATATAAATACTTTAAATACAGTGGGCCCTTGGTATCTGCTGCGGTTTGGTTCCAGGAACCCCCCCCCCATGGATACCAAAATCTATAGATGGGCAAGTCCCATTATTTACAATGACATAGTAAAATGGTGTCCCTTATATAAAATCCATGAATAAAGAATCTGTGGATATAGAGGGCGGACTACAAATAAATAGATGAGGGAAATGTGGAATGTGAAGCAACCACATTCTTTTCTTTCTCTGAGTCCCACCTCTATGATTCCTTGGCTGCCACTTTCAGACTGTGCCCTACACTAATCCTTGCACTTTTCCCAGGTGCACACAGAAGTGATGAGGGGAGGCAGATAAAATCTGTCAACTTGAGCAATCGGTTTCTCCAGTGCCTTCCACCTTCTGTGGCTGTTGCACCCGTGCCCATGTTTTCTCCTTTATGGAAAGGAAATACATGACATTACACTTGTGTCACATACTTCTAAAGATCAAACAGGTACTCCCGTTGCCATTTATGCTGGTTGTTATCATGGTATAGTGTTCAGACAGGATTCTGGTCACTGTCGAATGGAAGTGACACCAAGGAGATGGGGGAAGAGCCCAGCGAAACAATTTTTGTACGGTGGGTTTTTTGGACCTGACACTGCCCTGAAATCCAGATCATATACTCTTAGAGTTTGCTTACTTTTATTGGTGATATCTCTGGAAACTCAAGAAAGAGTCTTTCTCAGTCCTCATGTTACTCAAGATCCATGGACTAGGGAATTAACTTCATGGACAGGCCAGAGGTTGAGCAAGAAGGCCTTTGGAAATGCAGAGCATGTGCTCTGTGACTCAGGAATGACCTGCTGTAAGAAGGCTCTCATCATGCTTTGGCCCCAGTGCATCTGAAAGCCATTCTTTGCCCCCAGCCAATTAGCCCCTTGCCATTATGGTAGCCGTGAGAAGGAGAGGAGGCAATGCCAGGCACCTTCCCTTCTGTCATGCCTAGCATAGCAGCTGAGACCGTACATTTCTGCATGCAGAAGTATGTGCCATTTGTGCTATGCGGCTCTTGGTGTCCAGGCACAGTGCTATGTTATTGTGTAATACAGGCCTTGTGTTGAAAGGCAACCCCGCACAACTGAATGCACACTTTGAATGTGCAACCAAATCCACATCTAAAAGTCCATCTTCATATGCAACTTACACACACCTAACTGATTTCCATAATTAATTTCCCCCATGGATAAATGACTATTAATCACTCTACAATGTAAGATCTGGTGTAGCATAGTGGTTTGTGTTGGACTAGGACTCTGGAGACCAGGGTTCAAATCCTGGCTCAGCCATGTAAACCCACTGGGTGACCTTAGGCAAGTCACATTCTCTCAGTCCTAGAGGACAGCAATGGCAAACCCCCTCTGAAGAAACTTGCCAAGAAAACTCCATGGTAGGTTCGCTTTAGGGTTGTCAAAAGTCAGAAATTAGTTGAAGGCATATAGCAACAATAACACTCTACAATAGAGAAGTGAAATACTGGGCCAATGGAATTGACATATGTAGCCCTCCAGTGCCTGAAACATGCTTACTGTATGCTCTAGAAGGTCTTTTTCTATTCTGCCTAATGCTTCCTTCCAACTATGACAGAGACTGAATGAAAGAGAACGAGATGAAATTGCTCCTGACTCCCCAAAGAGCTTTCATTTCTTGGGACCTTCGATTCTCATTTAAACAATTCTGCAAAGCCATAACCCTGTCCCTATTTGTAGCCTGAACTACGCTACTCACACATTTCCCTCCCCCTTCGCCACCCCACCATCACCGCTTCTTATTAAAACTCTGCCGTCAGGCTTCAGAAAGAAGGAAACCCGTATAATGATAGCAGTTATTCCAACAATGTTAATGATTTGTAGAAAGATGAATTAAGCAGAGAAGAAAGAGCTGCACTAGTCTATTACGGCCCCGTGCCTCACTCTATTAAAAAGAGCTGAGCTGTTCATCCATTTATGAGCCATTGACAAGAAATATATCTCTACATACAATGCATGGCAGCAGGGGGAGGGAATTTCATCCCAAAAGATGGAAGCCAAGCTTCTTCAAAGAGACACAAGCATCCTCTTTGTTAGAAGTTCTGCACATGATGGGTTCAGGCAGAGCTTGGGGAATGTCAACACTTTGGGCTACAACTCCCAAGGCTTCCTAGGGATCATGGCCCCAAAAAGTAACTTTTCCAGTCCCTGATTCCAGGAAACATAGGGAATTTCTTTATACTGAACCAGACTATTGGTCTATCCAATCCAATATTGACAACTATGACTAGGACCAATGGATCTCTATAGGTTGAGGAATGGGATTCCTTCCATGCCTACCTGAAAATCTCTGGAATTCCCTTGTAGTCTCCCACCCAACAACTATCTGGGATTGACACACCTTAGCTTCTGGAATCAGATGATGCTCAGAGTGGTCTGGCAATGCTCTTCCCTCTCTATCTTCTCTGGCCAAGCAGATTTTGCTCAGATTGAAGAAAGCGTGTAATGGCACATTCAAAAACTACATTGTTTTTTTTAAAAACTGTGCATCTTAAAATTTATTTATTTATTTATTTAAAATTGATTTAAAATGGAATAGTCCTCAACAAACACACAGGCTGACATCCTGTTAGTGACACACAGAGGGATAAGTTGCAAACCACATGCAGAGAGAAGTTTGTGGACAATGCACAGTGGTGGCAGGAATGGAGTTCCAATGTGGAACCATTGCCCATGTAGGTACACTTCAAAGGTCACTGAGTAGTGTGTGAATGCACATGGCTGTACTGCTACATGAAGACACGCATGTGCAATGGCCACCAATGTGCATTGATTGCATTACACTGCTATTCAGTACAAGGGTTATGCAACAGAATCACAATATATCTTTTTTCATGGTTATTTACATAATGCTGAAGCAATGTAAGATCATGGCCATAATTGCCAATCTGTTTCAGCTAATGCACCTGCTTGTGCAATGGGGATTGTAAAGTGCTTGTATCTGCAATTCCAGTGAATCAAAGGATTCATGGAAGGCACTGATGAATTGCTAGGCACAACTGCAAGGCTGGAATTCTCTTGGTTAGTCTCGCCTACAGATGGGTCACTAAGTTGTTGAATAGTGAGTCAAATATAGGTAAATCCAGTTGATTACATAGTACTCCTCTAGTTGGAACTAACAAGAGGAATTAGGTCCATATGACATGTTAATACATGTGGAAGTTTACTTATCAGTTCAACTCCCCCTCCTTGCCCTTCCTTCCTATGGTTCCTCATGTTTAAATGGTAGTCAGACCAGAATGTCATGTAAAGAGAGATGCCTATAGCAGGACACCATGACTGAAATCTCACATCCTGCTGGTGGAGCATAAATCTCGATCACCATCTTTATTGGAGGCAGCAGAGGCAGTGACTGCTGCTTTTTCAGCCTATCTGCTTCCTTTGGTGGGCAGCAACAGCTGGGAGGCTGCTATGCACAGCTCTATGTCTCCACATATTGTGAGTGCACTCAGGCCCCTTCCAATTACTGTTAGAAGAAGAAGGAGGAGAAGGAAAACCTTAATCTCTAGCATAAATTTGTCCATTCCTCCCTCAGTGCTCAAGAACAGCTTGAGTAAGAATGATTAGTAGCTGGAGAGATGGAGCAGCACCTGGCACAACCCTGGCACTCTTGCAGGCCAAGGTGGAGGTCTTGAGGAAGTAGGTACTGGATACCTCTTTCCACAAGGTCTGAAAAAGTACATATCTAGGCATAAAACCCATTCATACTAGTGTAGGTCACCAACAGAGGCCTACCAAAAGCCATTCTAACTAGGACCTGTTCTCTGATCATCTGCTCTCTGATCCTTTGAATATCAAATGCCAAGGCAGGAACCTGGAGCTTCCAGCAAAGCTTGCAATTTTTTAAAGATTTTTTTAAAAAAGAAAATAACACATTAAGCACGGCTTGTTTTTCCATAATGTAAAAGATTAGTTGTTGCTTGTCATGCATTACATGCATTACATGATGCTTACAAGTTACTTTATATATGTTTGTGTTGGTAACCCAGTGTGCTGGGTTCCCCCCCCCCCAAAAAAAACACCCACCTCTTTTTAAAAATATAAAATACAAACTATCATATACAATGCAACTACAAATGGCTACATGCAGTGGTATCTACATGTGGTATCTACAGGCTACATGCAGAGGTATTAAAAAAGAAGTATCTGTGCATAAACTCCTGCGCTACACAACAGGCAGCCCAGCTTGCCTTCAATCTGTTGTCTTTCAGATACTACAGCAGATGCTTCATTTCAGAAAAACTGGGGTGTATTCATACTCCAGAATTAAACTGTTTGACATTATGGTACTTTAGTTGCCATGACTCTGTCCTACAGAAACCTGAGATTTGTAGTTTAGTGTGGCACCAGAGTTCTCTGACAAATCTGGCTGAATACTTCACTAGACTACAAATCCAAGCATTCTGTAGGATAGAGTCACGGCAATTACAGTGGCGTTGAATTGCTTTAATTCTGCAGTGTGGATACACCTTTCTGTACAGGATAGGTGTAAGATGGAGGGTGCTGGTGTGGCTGACATCAACTACTATCTGTGGACCAGTGGGAGCCAATAGCTTTCATTTCAGGGAATCCGTTCTGGGTTTTTATTCCAGACTTTGGGGAATTTGTTTCAGCACCTTGGATAGCACCTTTAAAATCTGGAATAAAATCCAGACTGAATTGATCCTTCCATTAACATGGAATCCCCAAGCCATCATGGCTATGGGCATGGTGTCCTGCCATGTACCGCCTAAACAACCTATCATTTTAGTATTTCTTAAGGATGTGCTCAGTACAGCTTGATATTGTTTTAAATGGTTTCGGCTTCTCTCTTTGTGCAGGCACTAGCACCTCGGGGTTCTGTTGGACCTAAAGATGGGGATTGTAATAAATGGAAATAAGTAATGAATAAGTAAAATTGACAACTCATGGGCAACAGCCTCTTGGGTACCATTGACATTATCACAAGCAATGTCACCATGATGTATGTGTAGAGACTTGGGCAATAATAGCGAGGCACAATTGGTGTGTTGTGTCTCTGCCTGAAATGTGTGAGTGTGTGTATCTGTGTGAGAGAGAAACAAAGAAAGAGAGAGGGGCTCTAAATAAACGTATTGTTGTGACTCTTCCTCTCAGCTGATCTTTCGGGTTCATTCCACCCCTTCTTTTTCCCCATATTTTTAAAAAAGAAGAACAATCAGAAGGCAACTAGCCAGAAAATAACCAGCCCTTTAAGTGTTTCGGTGCCCAATTTACCATGCACTTCTCTTACAATCTCTCTCTCATTTGTGACATTGTATCAGCATGACCGCCCTTCTGAAAGCAGTCTGTCTTATTCAAATATTGCTGTTTTCATCTCTCCCCGCTCTGCTTGGCTGATCTTCTCTGGCTACTGCTGTCATGTACGAGGGGCTATATCAGACCTGCAGAACTTGGCAGTAGGAAGGGGCCAAAATTATAATAGGCTAAGCTTCTTTGAGCCGCAGATAGGTTTTAATTAAACATTAATTAATTAATTAATAATATAATTAATATTAATTCTGTCTTTCTCCTCCTCTGCCCGGCCCTCTCCTCAGGACAAAGCTGAGCAGTGGAGGAACCTTGCCCATCTTTCTCTTCCTCCATCTGGCCTTCTCCTTAGGATAGGGATAGGCAACCTTTCCCCTTTAAGGGTGGAGGGACTTCAGCTCCCAGAATCCCAGGAGCTATTGGCCAACATGGGACTATTGGCCAACATAGCTAAGGCTTCTGGGAGTTGAAGTCCCTCAGACCTTAAAGGAGAAAGGTTGCCTACCCCTGCCTTAGGAGAAGGCCGAGCAACAGAGGAGCCACATGGGGCATGCGTTTGCCTCTCTTCCTACTCCACTGCCCTCAGGAGAAAGTTAGGCAGAGGAGGTGCCTTGCAGGGTCAGCGTTTGCCCATCTTCTTCCTACACCCAAACTTTTCCTCGGGAGAAAGCCAAGCAGTGGAGGACCTTTGCAGGGCGAGTGTTCACCCATCTTCCTCCTCTGCTACACCACCTGAGGAGAAAGCCAGATGGCAGAGGATGCTTGCAGGATAAGCATTTGCCTGTCCTCCTCCTCCTCCACCTCTGCCTGGCCTTCTCCTTGGGAGAAAGGAGGTGGGGTGCACAGCGTGATGGCAGCGTTGGGGCGCCTGGCGTGCGGTCGCCTTACTCCAACTTCACCCCCAGGTTGGCCCTTGTGGCCGGTCTGTACAGGCCCTATATCAGGTCCATACAGTCTGGTTATAAAGGTACTTCCTTGGCACCAGTTCACTC